CTGTTTCATTCCGTGTACAGAAGAATGCAGAGTTTCTTGAATAACTTATCCCAACGTTCCATTCATATTATACCTGTGTTTATTGGAAGAACAAAAAATTCAAATGGAAGAGGACGATTAATATTAATCGATATTTTTTACCGCAAATGTCTATTTACTTGTTTATAGGTATGCAACTTTTATGTTTGAAAAAAGGTATTACGTGACGATGTAGATTTTTCTTATAATTAAACAAAAAATAGCGAGTGAGAAAAAGATAGAGAAAGAGGAAAAAACATTTGAAATATGCGATGGTAAATCGTACAGACGTGTGCTGTTACCCGTGCTTAAGAGCAAATTTGCAAATTACCTATCGTACAAGCACTCCTGCTATTTCTCGAGTATGTTAAGAACGAAGGATAACTGGTCGTCATTGCAAGGCGAATAACGAACATATGATTTGTTTCAAGATTGAGCGGGTTACTTCGACAGCGAAGGATAACGAGCAGCTTCTCGTTTTTACAAGAAGTACTGAGGACTCTACTCTCTCTCTCTCTCTTTGTAATTTTACTCGGTTGATCTATATCGATTCTCGGAAGTGTTTTCCCTATTTGGAGATGTCCGATTATTTCGTTCTTGAAATAAAATTGTCAGGATTGAGGATTATGATAAGTTCGTGATATTCATAACACTCTATCTTTCTCACATTTTTTTGTGAATATTGAATTTATTTAAGCATTTGATATGTTAATATTTTAAAAGCGTTTATTGAATTATCATAATTACTCGGTTACTTTTCTAAGTCAGATTGAATGTATAAATATTAATGTAGGCATATGTAAATTCCTAAAGAAATATAGCAAAAAAAAGATATATGTACTACAATAAATAAATACGTAGATGTTAACTAAGTCAAAGTGATGATAATTTAAAGCCAAGCGTTGCACTTAAAAAACAATAAAAGTCATGAAAAGAACATTACAACGTTAACTATTCTTAGATCGAATAATCATTGAAACTAAGTAGAGGAGATTCGATTCAGCTGAAAGGAATTAGACTAGACTCATCTAATAGTCATCGGTTAGTGATTTTGTTGGATGATTCGATCCTAATGTATCTCTGGACGAGTCATTCTCCGTGTAATCATCGAAAGCAATTTAAGTTAATTACTCTTAGAGTGAACAAACGTACAACATCTCATAAATCTTTCGAGTCGTGTCTTACAATTTTCGATAAACCATTATTTGTCGTAAGTATAGGATCTAAAGGAAAGGATCGATAGATCTATCGTTGGAACGATCTCGTACGATGTCGTATCGAAGATATCGATCGTAATTGCTTCCATTGGTTGCCAATAAGAATTATTTTCGGAGCATCGATCGTCTCACGAGTTTATACCACTTATAAGAGTGTTTGTTCTTTGGCCGTGTTATAAAAGCACATCTGGTTTATTAACCTTGCACTTTGACTATTCTCAACTTATCTATTTCTTTTTTGTAATGTTATTCAATGACTCTTGCGATTATCGAGATTAGAAAATCAATAGAAAGCGAACTATAAGATTTATTTCTTTAAGGAATCATTATATTACGTAATTTTGAATAAATTTATTTATATAATACAATACTGATATTTATTATGTATAAAATACATTAAAGATCATATAATCGATCAAAATGAATTCATTTTATCTTATTGTAAGATAAAAATGAACGATAAGGATGTAATGAGGTTAAAAAGAAAAAAGATTAAAAGAACGAGACAAGAGATTTGCGAAAGAGTGACATTCTTTTTATTTTTTATTTTTAAAGAAACTCGCACGACCGGTCATCGATGTTTCCCTTGTACACGTATCCTGTGTCATTCGCTTCCTGGATTAGATGCGAACTGACGGTGCATCAAACTCGAAAACCGTTCTCCGTAAAATAAAAAGGGATAGATGGATAGATTACTCGTTAGATAAATAGATAGATAAATAGATATATAGAATAGAGAAATTAAGAGAGAGAGAAAGAGAGAGAGAGAGAGAAAGCTAGAAGAGCTTTATTTGAGAACGTTATCTGGCATTTCTTCAGCTCGGTCGAGCCGTCCGTTCGTACTCGTGGCTTCCGCTCGATTTCTGATGCGTTACGCTTTGCTAATCGTTTCGCACGACCGAACGATATCGATATCTTTCGATATATGTATGTATGTACATACTTACATCTGTGTATGCTAACATACAGGGTGTCCTATTATACTTAGATGTATATTTTTATCCGTTACAATGTATAATATAAAAAAAATACCGGTGATCTTGAAAAGAATCCATACAAAATTTCCTTATAGTAAAAATTATTTTTATCCACGATAGATCATTTCCTATTTTTTTGTTTTCACCGATCAATGTATGACTTAAACATTTTTTATATCATTGAAAACAAAGAAAATATTTAAGTGGGACACCTTGTATATTGGGGGCACGAGTCAAGCTCTCCGGCCTTCTTGTGTAGTCTATTCACCCTCCCCCCTTCCTTCTCCGTTACCTCTTTTTCTTCAGTCTAGATGAATCTCTGTTTCGTCCTCTCTTCGAGCTTTTCTTTTTCGTTTCTTGACTTTTTTTAAATAACTTTCCTGCACTCTTTCTTTTCCTCCTCCTCCTCCTCTTCTTCGTTCTTTCCATTTACTATGTATTCGAGATATCGTTTTCTGTCTGCAACTTGGCATGGGATTCTTCCATTTTTTGCGAGAAATTCCACGATCCTCACGCGATCTTCTCGTTTTCTATCACGGTTCGCGAGAATAGTTGGTTGTTTTTATTATGAGTTTTTCTTTCAAGAAAATACGAGGCTTTTTTTTAGAAAGATTCTATTAAAGGTGAAGGTTCGATTTTCAATTGGAAACAATTTTGTTTTCCCGATGATTTTACTTTGAAAAATAATTTTTAATATGAATTTGTTCCATAAATGTAAATCATCAAATTGCAGATAAATTTTCGGAATAAGATCATTTCCGATGTTAATTCATTTGACTGTTAAGATTATCATCTATCGTTACTTAGAAAGATAAAGGTAAAGAGAGGTCGATTGTATTCTCGTGATTTTTTTTCCTCGGAGAGATCGAAAGTGTTAATTGTTTGAATCAATGCAAGGATTCGCAAAAGTTAAATAGGGGAAGCACTGTCTACGACGGTCACCATGAATGACGATTTACATACTTCGACTTTTTTCTGACGTCTTTAAGACGATTTTGCAAGAATAATCGCATTGTCGGTTAACCTGAATCGCTTGAATATCTAAGCTTGACACTTGACACAACTTTGCCTTTTCTAAGAAGCGATAGAAGGAGGCATTTGACTACTCAAATTTTACCTTTTTCGTACGGTATTACATAATTCTTTTCTATTTCTTAGTTTCGATAGTTTTATTTAAATAAATCCTCGATTATTATTCAATTGTAATAAAGTTTTAACAACAAAATTATGTCAAATCAAAGTCTATATTTTCTTCGATTTTTAGTTTATTTTTAATAGAAAAGATAAATGCTTTTAACTAAACGAAATAATTGATAAAAAATAGCACTATTTTATATTTGTCGGAAGTTATTTATCAATCACTCGATTTTCTGTAGAACTTTTTCGGTACGTTTCGGACAAGGGTACTTTGAACTTCCTTATCCATGCTCCAGGAAGGTGTACGACCTCCCGGAACGATTTCTGGAATAGCTGGATCTTCCGTAACGCGCTACGAACTGGACCACGAGGTCGTACCGGATACCGTTAAGCAGAGAAGCAGCAAAAAACGAGTCCGAAGCCGTCGTACATGTTCCTTTTTCTCGTCATGCTCATTACGACTTTTAATCATTTTCCTTCGATTGGATTCATCCGATAATATTGAAATAATAATAGATCATCAATCATATTTCTCGATTAACTATTTTATTCAATTAGAATTAATCGGACATTTCGAGAGCAATGATCGATCACAAATATCGAAGTGAGATAAAATTCGTGAAGTGTGCGTTAGTGTAATTGTATCGCGTACGTTGCCCCCTTCAACCTAAAAGACAGAAACACACGAATGATATATACAATATATACATACGTATATACGTTAGCAACATAGATTATCAGCATACGTAACTATGCATACGTGTAGGAGAATGAAGGACATTTCGATGCGGCTTGTTCATTCAAAGATGAGATATGCTATAGTCTGTATCGCGAGATTAACGGGGGAAAAAAAGAATAAAAAGGAAATGAGTTTCGCGTAATATGTTCGACCTGTCCTAGTAAAAGTTAGTTAGAGATTGTCGGTTGTACGTTTATACGATGACTAGGCAACGATTAAATTCTACAAATGGCATTGCTAAGAATTCCAGAGACATTTTACTTTAATGGAACTTCGTCAAACATTTACTTAAGACTTTTTGTAAATAGTCCTAATGGGGTTGCTAGGAGATCGATTTTAAGTACCGAATATTTTTTGTTAATATTATTTTATGATTCCAAATTCATAAGCTAACAATTTAGCAATGGAATGCTCGGAAAGAAAGACATTAGACTTACTTGTTGGTCTATGGAATTTTGTTGAGTTAAAAAATATAAGGATAAGGGGCAGATCGAAAATTGTTACTTGATTAAAGACTCGAAGTGGTTACTTTCGACGCGCGAACGTTAATATGACGTCCATCGTAATTATCCTCTCCGCTGAGGTTTCCGAAGAAGTACTATACTCTGAAGAGAAGTTAAGAAGAAGGTAACGAAAATTATTGGCGTGATTCTGAAGGAAAGAAACTTTCATAAAAACATCTTGGTATCTGGACTCGGGATCTTAGGATTTATTTTCTTACAAAGTACCATGTCCGTCGAGCGTGTCCGATCGTTCGCTTACGATCTCTTGAGATCCTTCCCTATAACACGTGGATCACGTATCGTGATTTTTTGCCTAAACATTGACGACGACTTGCCCGTACGACGATGCTTTGTACGATGCTTTATAGTGAATAAACTTTTAACCAAGGTATATCTTTATTTATTGCAGATGCTTTTGATGCGATGCTGTTGATGCGACGCGCGTCTGAGTAAATAAGTCGTAAGTATCTTGTATTTGTTTATTATCAATGTTTCTCTTATCTTCGTAGTCGAGACGACAAACAAATAATCGGTTTGTAATACTGCCTCAAATTTCTAGTTTTTTCGTTCTCTCTAGTCCGTGGACAAATCCTTTTTTCGATCTCACAATCAGTAGATTCTTCCCGGTTGATGCTCCCACGTATATCTAGTTGTGCATTGAAATCTCAAAGGTATTGGCCATGACCTGCCAACGCCCACACTGGGATCTGGCAAAATGCTACGACTGCTTTGCGCACCGCGTACCTACTTAAGTCCCATTAAATAACGCGTCTGTTTGCAAATTAACAGTAGAAGTAGTCAGTACGGTACACACGCTCCCGTGTGTTACGACTACTTGTACACGCATGTACACGCGCACGCAATCAACGAGGCCTTCGAACGTGGGTAAAACGAAGGACGGTGAGAAAAGCTCGTTAATCGAACGGACACGCTCGGCTCGTCGAGATTAAGTCATTCTTTTTTTAAACACGTGATACACGTACGCTCATGTTATATCTGCTTACTTGAACGTAGGCATGACTATTTCATTACCTATCTCTTTTTTTCAGAGCTTTTGATTAGATTAGAAACTAGGAATTTTGTAAAAGTTCCGATTTTGTCGACCTAAGAAACCGACTTTAAGCATCGGTTTTAACTCTTGAAAGTATATATGTCTATATGAAAATATTACGATCATCAGTTTCGTTGGTTTTTCCATTTCCTGTAACATTCGAATCGAAAATTGGTCTTTTATTATACGTCCCTCGTATAGAATGTTTGTAGAAATTACACGATCCGTAGGATCGTTCGATCGATCGGGAGAGTTCAACGCTCGTGTTTCCTCGCGCGTGAAACGGTGTCTTTTTTCGAAATATCTCTCTTACACGTTGCACGGGAATCACCAGTATGATGACGTCACTGACCGGACGGTAACAGTATGTAAAAAAGATGCAAATAATACTTGCTATCCTCCATTCTTTCCTCGATTTCACTTTTTCTCTTTTTCTCTTTTTATACTTTTTCCTTTCCTTTCATACTTTCTTCCTTATTTTTCTCTTCTTTGCCGCTTATGTATCAGCTTTTTTTTTCTTTTAATTACTTCTCCGTTTTTAAACTTATTCATTTATACATGGAATGTGTATGGGCGGAAGGTTAACACTTAACAGGCAAGACGAATCAGAAAATAGTCCTTTTTCCTTCGCTGACGATGACTTCACGAAAATGATTAACACGAGAGCAGAAATACGTAATACTTTGCATGGCTTGACAAGATTTTACAGCAGATTTGTTGATAGAATGTCAAGGTTGATCGCTAATTGAATTGAATTTTTCTTACTACAATTTCTTAAACATTCTTTTTCGTGTTATTGTATGAAAGTGAGTTTCCTCTTATCTTATGAGACCTACTTTGACAATCACCCAGGCAACGATAATCATGATTATCCACTGATAGCAGTCACGATAATCGGTCATATTCATTTATTTAGTCAATGATATACGATTAAACTTTTCGCCGTTGTGTTAATTTCATATTCAATCCATCATTTTTCTCGCGAACTCATTAGAACTTGAAATTCACACCTACTTCCATAGTATTAATTGTTTTTTAATATATGTAATGATCGTTGTACTTTAAAGTAAATACTTTTAAATAAAACGAATGTAATCGAAGATTTTTTCTTCGTTGCAGATAGATCAGACAAAAAAATGAAGACATTAGGGAGCTTCATCTCGTTCCTCCTCATTATTCTGCATAGTACGAGATTCACGAATTGTCTGTGCAACTTAGAGAACGAAACGGAGACACAATGCGACCAATTAGAGGACATCAAATACATCGACGCTCATCAATTGGAAAAGTTGAAAGCCAGCGTGGTCGGCAGTGCTTTGGATCCGAAGATTTTCAAACACTTGAACAATTTGAAACATTTGGATTTGTCCGGTGGCAATTTGAAACGAATAGAACCTGGTACTTTTCGAACGTTGATCAACTTGAAGAGTCTTGACCTCGCTAACAATCAATTAGAATATTTGAACTTGTCATCTTTGGAAGGGCTACAGGAGTTACGTAGTTTGAATCTTCGAAGGAACAATATCAGTCAGTTGCCGGTTGTATTGCTTCTTCTGAAAAACCTTAAACATTTGGATGTTCATGGTAATCCACTGCAATGTAATTGCGCAACGTTACGCGTGAGAGACTTGTTGACGTCGAGAAGTGTTAAGTTGTCGAAGAAGGTTACATGTGCTGGGCCGAATGGTTCGAAAGGTACGTCGCTTATGAAATTGGAGACGCAGAGGATTTGTAAAGAGGAGCAAGATGACAAGGAAATGCTGGGTGATCAGCCATATCAGGGATCAGAAGACTTCGGTTCTGGCGATGTTTACGACGAGATGGATTCAAACGACGAGTTTTTAGATATTCAGGAACCTTCTGAAAGAACGCAGGTTGAAGAAGTTGAAACCCCAGCTCCGGAGATACATCCGGTATCTACCGTGGAGCCATCGACGACTGTATTAATTCAAACGACAGTGGAAGTTAGTCCAGCAAGTAGCAGTGAAAGTCCACTTCTAATAACGCCAACCGAAGCACCTCTGGAAAAGTCTATAAAGGAATCCGAAGAGCTGTTCTTTGATTTCGAGGACCAGAAACATCAGATTACTACAGAAATGTCACAGAAAAAGAAAGTGAAGGATAGTTTGTTTTATCCCGTTGAAGGATCGGGAGATGAGGGTTCTGGTTTAGAGGGTTCTGGAATTGGTGTAGTGCCCAACGAAGATGACGAAAGTGATGAAAAAATAGGAGACCATGGGGTTTATGTATCGAGCACTTCGGAAGAAAGTATTTTCTCTATGATTCTTAGTGTATTTACCGATACGGATACTACCACAGAGAAGAAAGAACCTAGCATCGAAGAAGAAGGATTCATAAATGTTTCGGTAATAAAGACCTTCGATAATCTCGGAGAAATTCCCGTTACAAAGTCAAAAACAAATGTAACTCTTGCAACTGTTCCACTACCCTTTTCTACAATTGGTCCAGAAATTGTAGAAAGTAATGAGGCCGAGGACATGTCAAAATTGGGTACGATCATGGTGGAACCACCCGAGGTCGCTGGTATGAACAATGAATTAGCCAAAGTGTCACCTGCCAAACAATCGAAAAAAGGAATGGGCTCTTACGTTGTTCTGGCTGGTTTGTTGGTCATTCTGGCAGGTTTGGTCGGCTTTGCAGCCTATAAAGGTGACTTTTGTAAGAAGAAGAGGAAACGGGGTGACGTGGAGAATGGTACGGAGATGAAAGATATGCAAAAGTCTCTTTTAGATACAGGGAATCAAGCGCAACCGAAAATAGCATCGAACGGTAGTCCAGAAAACATGCCGTTGGTTGATGGTACGATCGAACACGAGGATACAAAAGATTCTATAAGGGCTCAAGAGAGAGACAGAACTCAAAATGGTCATTCAGATCACATAGACCACGCGGATCCCGTGAAACCTCCCAGAAAGATATTAAATACTCAGGAAGATTGTAAACCTGTGCAAGAAGCTCTACAGGATTCGATATCCTCGAAAGACGACTCATTTTCAGAGAGGACCAGTCCCGTGGAATCAGCAAGAACGACCAGTCCGCGTCTTTCCGAACCGAATGGTCCACCCTTGAGTCCTGGAGCTCAGAGAGTAAAGATTACTCTTCAAGAGAATCCAGACAGCGTTCCAAAAACGCCTATACTCATAACGCGAACGTCTGTGGGTGATAATCTAGTCAAAACACCGTGAAACGACCTACCTGGCCAAACCATGTCATTTAACAAAGGATCCAACTAATGACGCAACGAAATGCAAATGAAAGAATACCAAGAAAACGTCAGGTGATTCAAGGAAGTGTATACGGACAACGTGATTGGTTGGTTTCTAGCCCCTACGTGTCAGGGCCACGTTCGAAACACCTTCAGAAATCGACACTTTCATGTATATTATAGGACGTTCAACGAGAATATTCTTCGAATATCTGATCTAACGGATTATCTATTTTCTTTTTACGACACGTGATTCTTCTAGGCGAGAGTGAGCGCGAACTAAGTGGACTTGTACATAACTTTCTTTTTTCTTATTTGTTTTATACTTCGACAAAATGGATGATTAGGCAAAAAGACAAAAAAAAAGAAAGAACAAAAAGATCGCATGAGTTTAATCGTATACGAGATTTGTGAAGACATTCGTTGTACTAGCACACTAGTCAGTCTCCTTCACAGATCTTCCAGTCCTACCGTTGTATCCTCCGAAATTATTTCTTATGTTAGACACAGAGTGCAAGCGAATCTAAAAGTGAGGAGAATACAAGCGATATTGTTATTTTAATCCTACTTTGTGTATATTATCGTCAAGAGGGTACATTCCAAGCCTGCCATAATAATTCTTTTCATTTTCTTGTTTTTTTATACCGTATGCTTATTTGAATGAAATTCCTAATTTTAGCCTTGATCGGCCAAACGAACAAGAATCGTTTGATATTTGATGAATACGTGACGCTCTGGAGTTTAGACTTTACATAAGTGTTAATAATTATTTTGTTGCGTTTCTTATTATTGCGTGAATGGACAAATTGTAATAGCTAGTCGATCGATACGTAAACACCCGTCATGTTTGATTGTTAATAAGACGCAATTCCTCTTACCGTCACTCTGATCCTCTTCTTTTTCCTCTTCTTTTTCCTCTTATTTTTTTGTCTTTTATTTTCCTTTTTTTTCTTCATATTGCGTGTTTGAGATTAATTAGCGAATACAGCAAGGCTGGTTTTAGATTATAAACATGAATATAGAACTTTGTTTGTATTAAATTGTTAGATTTATTACCGATGTCTATCAATTTTACTAAATAGTATCATTTCAAAGCGATAATTGAACTATTTGTATGATAATATATTTTTAATGCGTGTTCATCGATTCCGATCAGTCGCTGAGAATGTGTCATTCGTATGAGAAATTAAAGACACGATTTATTAGATAAATCAATACGTATGCATGCATTATTTTTCAGCCCTGTATTTATCGCTATCGACATTATTATAACACGCTTCTATTGTTTATACCATTTATAATGTCGTATATAAATATATATATATATATATAGTGAGACAAAGAGAGAGAGAGAGAGAGAGAGAGAAAGAAAAAATATTACATATAAATTTATTTGCAAACGGGCAATACGCGCATTGCCTTTCTATCGACTATTACAATTATTTATTCGTTAAAATTATAAGATAATAGGAGAGATATATTTTATAAGGTACGAGCTTTATGCGAGTTTTAATAATTAGTTAATTCATTTAAGGATTAAGGATTTCGAATGTTCGTCACATTTAATTACATATATGTATTTACAACGTTGAATGTATAAATAAGTTTTTGTCGTTAATATTATTTCGTACTATCAATCAAAGATCGTTTGTATTTAGGTATGTGAGCCAAATAAGCTGATTACATATATATTATTATAATTATTATATGTATTATATATTATGTACTGTGCATCCCCTAAAAACGTATTATGGTTACGAAGACATAATGTTTGGACGTAATCATTCATTAGAAATACGGTGCCTACCTTTGTGAACAACGTCGTACAAACAACGATGGATAATTTAAGAATGTGTATGACCAATTTTATAATCCCTATCATGTTAATTCTCCTCGGAAAAAGAATCTTTTTTCTTCAACTTTTCTTCGAATGATGCATAATATTTGGAAGTAATTGATCCGAGTAAGTACATGAAGATTTTATTTATACTTACATTAGTGTATTTAATAAAACGAAACGAAAGATTTACCTCGTTTACCTACATTGTGAAGAAAATATGTTTATTCATATATATATGTACGTATATGTATGCAAGTGTAATCTTCAATTAGAATGTATAAATCCTTATGACATTTTTTTGTATATAAAAAAGATAAGGTATAATTACATAAAATGAATCTGAAAAGAAAAAATATCACGTAAGTGATGTTTAGCACGGATCGAGGTAACAAATAAAACAGAAGAAAGACGAAAAAGAGGACAAGAAAATATAGTGACCATACTCGGTGAAAATGAATAATAAGCATTCTACGTAACATCGAAGTGATAATTTGTAACCCAATTTATAGATCGATTGATTTCGTTACTAGCAACAAATAGAGTCTACGAAATATTATTATTCGGTTGAAAGAAATGAATAATTTGCATTTAATCCTTGAAGTTACTAGCATGCCGCTCCGATTACCATCTCGTCTTTCTCTCTTCAATGTCTCTCGATATGTAATTATTAATGAAATTAATAGTTGCGTATATCGTAGAAATAATACTGTATTTTACGCAGCTCGAAGGTTACTAACAAATTGCTATGATTCCGCGAGCACACCTATTCGTTATGGTTAACTTAGTAATTGGATGTTACGGGAAGGCACGCTACGTGAGTTTAAAAGTAACACTACGAGATTCGTATCTGTTCCAATTTCAAAGTTTATACTAAAGGTTTACTTTAAATCAAAGCATTGGAATCATATTGAATTTTGTATTGAACTAGAACAATCCCCTAGTATTTCTATTTTAAGAATAGAAAAACATCTAACCTCGAGAATACTAAGCGTTTTTAATAAAAATAATATACAAATTATAATAGCATTAGAACATCATGGACGTTTAATATTGTTGAGAGTTTTAAGAATCGCATTCGGTTTGCATCTCCCAAATTCCACTTCTCGGTTCCCTTCGTAGGTCTTTGATGACGATCGGCCTGTTATTAGTGATTCTTTGGATGTCGGAATCCTCATCGTCCGTCGAGTGTCCGTCTCTAATCGTTCTTCTACGTTTTTTCTTTTTAGCGCTAGGTGTTTGCGGTCTCGGTCGACCTTTGTTACTACTTCCAGACTCCTCAAGTTCCTCTATAGTGTTTGTCCTTCTCTGTCGTCGAGTAGACGAAGATTTAGACCTTGTAGGATTCGTCACCGGTGTTGGTCTCTCTCCATTATCAGAAACGTTACCAGCCGAGTTACTCCTTTCTCTTCTTAGTCTTTCAACGCGACGTTCTTCTCTTCTCAACAAATTGTCCTCGCTTTGGGTTCTCTTTCTCGGTCTTCTCGATCTTTTTCTCTTGTTTTGTAAATTGTCGACAGAGCCTAGTCTAGTTAAGTAAACATTCTCTATAGAAACTTCGTTTAACGTATCCAAGGAATGCGTCAGTCTTGGCATCTGAACAGCTTCCTCGTAACTGGGTGGTCCGATCAATTCCAGAGGATGGATCCTTGGTTCCGGTGCTGTTTCCGTTCTTTCCTGTCTTTGTTGATTCCTGTCAATTGGATCATCATCGATTCTAATTACTTGCCGAATTAATTATACAAACTAAATTCATGATAATACAATTTTTGCTCTTAAGGTAAAATAGTTTCCTATTATTGATTGTAGTTAAGATAGAAAATAATTATCAACAGCCGATAAGAGAAAGGTTAAACCTCGTAGGTAAAACAGTATCGGGATTTAAAGTAAGTATAAGAATAAGAAACGTTACCTCTGTTGTAAGAGTCTCAGTCTTTCAATACCCTCCATTCTATCGATACGATGTCTTTCTTCGATAGCTTGTCTTTTCATTTTGATTGCGTGTTTGATGGACGTGACTGTACCCACCATAATAATTAGCACGAATACGCACATCAAGAAAAAACCCCATATTCTGTTATTACTGTACACGAGTTCTCCGTTCCAAACGTTGTAGCAGGCACTCTCCCAAGTGTAATCGGAGACGTTGGCAGGACTCTGACAGATCAAAGTGTAAGGCAAGCTTTTGGCAGGTGGATTTGTCAAATATTGATAAGTTAAGTATAATTGAATGCAATCGCAACGCCATGGATTATCCTCCAGTCGAATGGTTTCTAATTTGACATTCTTTTGGAAAATACTTGGGTCTATTGCTTCGGTTAGACGATTACCTGGCACCGTTAGAATTGGATAATTATTACAAGTAGAAATAATAAGTCAATAATTCTATATAATTTTGGTATGATGTGCTTACCTGAAACATCGATTTGTTCAAGTTCAGGTAGTTCCGCGAAACTACTGTTATTTAATTCCATTAGTCTGTTTCTTCGAATATTTAGCCTTGTCAAAGTCAATGATTGCAATCCGTTGGGTAAACGTTGTAGCCGATTATCATTTAAATTTAGACTATTTATTTTGGGCATACCATTTAAAGAATCACTTTCCATCGTTTCTATGAAATTGTAAGATAAGTCCAAAGATGTCAAAAGTGACGTCAAATTTGGAAATTGGTATAGACTGTTATAAGAGAGATTGACCGATTTGAGTTCAACGTTGTCAAAATATGTTGAAGAGTGGATGAATTCAAGAGCGTTCATTGACAAATCCAAATGATTAAGTTTCACCAGTCCTTCGAAGGTACTTATATTCAAATGTTCTATACCGTTTGAATTTAAGTACAGGTGAGTAAGTTGTCTGTTTTTAGCAAAAATTCGATTTGGAAGTAAACGTATCGTATTTCGAGATAATCTGGCGTGGGTCAATGATGGCAAACCATGGAGACCTGGTCTGTCCAAATTACAATTTGAAACGTCCAGTTGTTTCAAATTCAAATGCTGTAGAGTAGAATGCCTACAAAAGTTAAACATGATGATATATTCTTCTAAATTATGATTAGATGCTTACCTTGTACTATAAACGAGCGCAGGATTATTATTCAGACGTAATTCCTCTAAAACTGGGAAACCAGTGAAAGTATCAGGATTTAAGTAATTCAAGAGACAATTGGACATGTCTAACCACCGTAACTTTTTACTGTATGCCTTTTGAATTGTTTTCAACGGATTTCCTTTTAAACTTAGACTCAGTAAATCTGGTAATCCTTTCAATGTTGTGTCATCAATCTTTTTGATGCCTGGAAAATGAGAAAAAACATACAGATGTAAGATAACGCGGTTAGTAATGCAAATAATAAATATCTTACCGCAGTAACTTGCTTCAACAGCTTGAAGGACATTACTGTTCAAATTGTTTAACTCTGTTAGAGGATTTTTAGATAGGAAAATAATAATCAGAGAAGGCAGTCGATTGATAGGTGCTATATTGCTTATATCCTCAATATTATTTTCTGAGATATCTAATTTACGTAAATTTTTTAATTCTCCTATACTCTCTGGCAAATAATTTAATTGATTTCTAGCTAAGTTTAGAATTTGTAGATCTACGAAGCGTTTTATATCATCCGTGATCTCTGTCAATAGATTAGTCGACAAATCCAAGTTTTCTACCTGTGGAGTAATGAACTAATAATTTGAGTGGAACAATGGGAAAAGCGAAACGAAACTATTTTATTTCCAATGAGAACATATTGCAATTGGATGAATTAACTTGAAGATTACTGTTATATTATATTTCATGGAGAGACTCACGATATCGGTGATATTAGATGGAAATGTTGTCAAGCCCTGCTTCGAACACATGACAATTCTCGGATGTCGGCCCAAATAACACAAACATCTAACGGGACAAAAACTATGAGCAAGGGATAAATTTCCCAATAGATAAATCACTAGGTGATGAATCATTAACAAGCTAATCGTTTTTCCGAGCTCCATCTTAATGCACCGGTGATAAGTCTTACGGTCACGAGTTGAAAAATAATGAAATTTTTATCGGCACCATCGCCGATTATAATTACTATAGAAATATCGTTTTGGATCATTCAATTTCACATTTTATTCCATAAACAAAAATTAACACGAAGTTGACTGGCCCGATCCGAAAGTATTGTTAACGGTTTCTGAAAACTACTGAGGACTTATCTTTGATAAGTTATGTGAGGTACGCTGCTACGATATCTCCGTAAGATAAGCGATGTGTAATGGCGCGATTATTCCCTGTGATAGGAAAAAAAAGGAAAAAGAGCGGGCATTATGAACGCCATCCTTTTTCTTTCTTTTTTTTTTTTTTGTTTCATCTATAAATCTAATCGAGAAAGATTTTCTTAAACACAAAACGATCCTTCGTTCGTTTCCGCTTCTTCAACGGAGTACCTTTCGGTGCTGGTAGTCCTTCAATGCTGATACAGAAAACGGTTCGTTTGTAAAACCTTTAAAAATGGAAATTCGAATGATGCAGTCCTGCGGAAAATATAAGACATTAGATAAATACCTGAAGCATTTCAAAAGCCGATATTGAGGCTGCTAGCTCTTCGGTATAAGCCTCTCTTGGCTGACCCATGCGGATATTTTCTCTTTCCAATTTTTTTTTTTTTACCGTCGCTGTATTACGACCTTTTCTTCTCCTTTTCTTCTTTTTTTCCTTCCTCCTTCTCTACGTCGATCCGACAGAAGCATCTATGATACTTCTTCGGTAGTCTCTCCTTTTCCTTATTTTCTTTTTTTGAAATAATAGCTACTTCTAACGATTAGATCGATAACGTGTGTAACATCGATCAGGAATAAACTTACCTTTCGACCTTTTATTTTTACTTGAAAAGACAAGTCGCGAAGAAAATGAAAACAAGTTTGATTCGTTTATTTGTTCGATCTTAAAATTCATATTATGTTTTTTATTCATTGTCAGTGTTGAAAACATGAAGAAGATTAAGAAACAAGCTCCACCCTTTGCAAAGGTGAAAGATTGGAAAAAGATTTTATTCGCGCAGGACTCTCTTTTTCACACGTCCACTCGGACCAATGGGAAGAGTAGGTCACACCCTCCAGGGAGGGTGCCAGAGGTTTAGCTAGCGCCGGCGCTTAGCCCTCGGCTTATCCGGTGGGGACGAGAACGTTCTACCTGTTGATATTAAACCAACCCCTTCACTACGATTTCGCAAATCCGGACTTCCACACCGGACTCCTGGTCACGCCCTCAAATTTCTGATGTTCGTACTGCTGGAAGTTGGTGGGAGAAAAGATCATCTTATTTGTCTTCCTTCTAATTTGTCATTTTTCTCTTCTAGAAGATGATGAATAAAGAGTGGTAGCAAGGTTCTATTTTATCGAATTAATAGAAATATTCTTAAAGATATCCCTAAGGAAATTTCATATAAACGATCTCTTTTCGAGATCAAAGAATTAACTAAACTTGTTCGTGTTTTCTACCGTAGAGAGTCAGGATTGCATTTAATGCAATAAAAGCGTATAAAATGCTCTCATCTTCTGTCTATATCTGTTACTTTTTTCGATTCTATCAGTTCAGGACTATTGAGGCCAGTTACGTTAGCAACGAAGGAAGGATATATTGTATAATGTCTTGGTTCGTTGTCGAAGCCAAGTAGAAATTCTCGGTTCTATATATCTCATTCTATAATATATATGTATATATATATACAGATATAGATATAGGAGGGAGTTAAGTATATATTTTTAACGCCTTCATTTCCGGTCTCGCTGGGAGACCGGAAATAACGGGACGATACCTCGCGGTGTTTCAGGTATTGATCAGTTCGAGGAGCCAGCTCACGACCACCACCGCCTACACCACCACCTCCACCTACACCACCACCTCCACTACCATCACCACCGGCAGAACACCTAGCTTCACGGGGGATGCACGTTCTCTCTGCAGCGACGACCTCCCCCCACTCCTCCCACCCTCATCCAGCCTTCATCCTATCCCCAGTGGCGGTTCGAAGCGCGCGCGGCACTGCCTCAACCCCACCCCTTTTTACCAGCGAACCTGAACATTTCGATATTTTCTCCGGTTCTTCTTAAATTTCTCTCGAGCATGCATCACTGAATCTCCTAAGAACGGGGAGAACGAGCATTGAAGATTCTTATCAAGTTTCCTTTTTCTTTTTTTTTTTTACTTCTTATCTTTACATTTTTTATATATTCTTCTTTTTGTCTTTTTGACATTTTCGAGATTTAACTTTCGGTCTGACTAGTGAACCGAATGTCGAACACTTCTTTTCTTTACGCTGCTTCTGTTTTTCTTTTTTCTTGGTTTGTTTTTAAAGAAGAAACTCTAGTCGAGATTCGAAAATAATTTCATTCTCGTCTTGGAACCACCCCCGTGATCTCTCAACCCCCTTAAGTCGGGTTATAAATAACGGCTTATCTTTTGTTGGCTTCAACGCCACCGCGGAGTCTCGTACAAAGCCGCCGAAATCACGGTCCCTACGTGTGCCCTTCTCTTCCCTTCCTTTCCTTTCCTTCCCTTCCTTTCCTTCCTTTACACCACCTTTTATATCTTTTAGAAAAGGGATCGCGCGTGTTTGGGCGCGAGGGAGAAAGAAACGTAGAACGTCTTCCGAAATGCGTATTCGTAATTGCTCTGGCATGTTTATAAATTAAATTCACTGAACTCTCTTTCGCTTTTTCGTCACTCACGCGTACTTTATTGTCTTGAATTAAGGTAGTATCATAATGGGACTTTACCAAGGGTCGCATTATCAAAGTGGTCGATGTTTGTATTTGGTCAAGCGGTCGGTCCTTCGAAATCCTTGCTTTTCTGGAAATTATTTTATCTACAAATTTACATATTCAGAATGAAACGTACAATAATATAAAATATTAATAATATTTCGAATATTAATTTAATATACCCGTGATTATTTTATTATTTTATTTCATTAATAATTCCAAATAACAAAAATTACAGATTTTAAAGTTTTTTTCAAGTTTCAATAATTTGAATTAAACAAGTTTGTAACTACTTGTTAGTTATCAGTACAAAATCATAATTCTAAATTTATAGACAGTAATATAAAAAGTTTTCTCGGAGAAAATATAAAATAAGGAAATAATGGAAGTTAGTCGGACTAAATGCTGACTGAACGTTAATAATAGGAATGTTATGGAGATGGCGTAAACAGGTAGGTCTCTCGTTGAAACGCGAATGAATACCGGCTATTCTTGGTTCAGTGCATCCTTAACAAGATCAGGAACACGGAGGCACCCCGTAAGGATAAAGCGTTGCTTGCGTTCGTTGCTTGCGCTCGCGCGCGCACGCGTATTTTCCGGGTGATACCGGGCACATCTGTCGGAACTCCCAAAGCATCCAGAAGAGGATGAGAATCTCGAAGCTTGCCAAAACCTCAGTGTTCTCCTCACGTTTCCGTTCTATTGTCTAATCGTTGTCGCGTGTAACTCATCTGCAACACCCTTTCTGATCCGTCTGTTTCTCTCTCTCTCTCGGTGTTTTCATCAAATCCTTATTAGAGTTCACAGTTAAGTTCGACGACAGAGCTTTTATTTCAACGCGATAATCGACAATCGAAATTTTATCTTGAGAGCTTTGGACGATCGACGTTCGTCAACGAAGATAGATCAAAGTTTTAAGCTTCTTGAGCTTGTCGTGGTTCGAGGTTTTGTCGACATTAGGTATTCGCGACCTAAAAGGTCGTTAAACGTCCAGGACAGGTCGCAGGAAAAGAAAAGTTAATCGAGGTAACAGGAAATAAACATTGAGGTAAAATAAGAGAGTTGCAAGTTGAATATTTCGATCTTGGGAGAAGATGGAAACGTTTAAATCGGAGCTCGTTCGATGTCGATGTAGACAAGAGGGAAGAAAATTGTAGGCGGGGGTTGCTCAGTTGCCATTATTCCATTTGATACTACAGTTGTGTAGATATAACCACGCGAGAGCTTGCGCATGTGTTTGTGTCTATATAAACGTCCTTCTCGAGAGCTTATCGCACTTTTTCGTTCCTCGGTGCCATAAACGAGAGAAGGCATCCTGCGTCAAAGACACACGAACGAGCTCAACGTTTCTCGGGCTTCGACCTGTCAACGAGGAAACGTCCATTAAGGCGCGAAGCAAAGGTAAAGATTACATTCGTAACCGTTTTCTTCGGGTGGTGTTGGGGGTTCTTTGCGTTCGGGACTTGGGGTTGGGGTTTCAGGGTGGTCGTGGTAGGTTTCTCTATGGGAGGAACTGGAGAGTAGGGGTAAGAGGACAGCGGCGCTTATCACGGCCGTAAAAAACATCGAGCAAGATTGGCACGTTGCCCGCAAACCGTACAACCGCCATCTTTTCGACTCTACGAACTCCTCGGATGTGCACAAAATGCTTGCAGATAGCGCCGTGAAATATGCTCATCCGCGAGGATCCTTCGACGCCAGTGTCGCACGGTGAAACACTCTTTCCGGCGTTATACTCGCGACAATCGATCCTTTTATTTTTCACATTTTTCATCGTCTCAAAAATACTTATTAATCGATTAATTATTTAATTTATTTCTTTTTTTTTTTCTTTTAATTTCTCCTTTCAGATTGAGATCCGAATAAATAATAGATTTTTGTTTCCATTCTTGAATACAAAAATCTTCTTCATTTTCTCAAAGACGAACGATGATTTATAAGAAATAAAGCCATCGCAAGAAAGCACAAACATATATATGAAAGTGGAAATATGCGAGATGATCCCCATAGGTTTATCTTGATTAGAATAGACAGGATTAGGTTAGCTTCTGTGGTAGCAGTTACTTTCAATTACTCTTCGACCCCCTTTTCAAACGTATACTTCCTTTCCTACCCCTTCTTTCTCAGGGATGAAGACCAGCCCGTTCGGGGGCGTATAATGTATGCGAGATAAAGGCCGAAGAAGCGCCATCGTAGACTAAGATATTACAGGGAAATGGTATAAGGTGCGGAAGGAGGTGGAGGAG